AAAAAAAAAGCCGGAAGTGGCGCTGTGGCTCAAGTGGTAGAGTGCTAGCCTTGAGCTGAAGAGCTAAGGGACAGAGCTCAGGCCCAGAGTTCAAGCCCCACGACTGGACCCCCCCAAAAAAAATTATAAAGTAGATGGTTAATATTCCCAAGTGAGCTTAAAAAAATGAATTCTGACTCAATAGACTTTCTCATAGATCTTTTTCTTTGAAAATACAACTGTAGGTAATGTTCATAATTACACAGACATGAAATTAACAATAAAAATGAACAAAAAACCGTATAGAAAAAGTATGAAACTAGGATTCTCCCTTATTCAACTGAGACTCCTTAAAAATAATAAAGCAGTGATATGGTTAGATATTTTTCCTTGTTCTTAATTCTGTGGAACTGCTTTCTTTGATTTCCCTGATAGGAACTAACTTATAAGATTTAAGCTATTTAAGATATAATGCAGAACATATTAGTACTATGGTAAATTTAAAACATTAAAAATCCACTTACAGGTTAACATTAGAAGACCCATCCTTTGTCATATGTGTACTTGGAAGGGTAAGGGAGATAGAAGAGAGGATATTTACTGTGGTATTTTGGCTTGTGAAGAGCGTTTATGGGAGACTGGTCTACTGAGTTAGCTTGTAATTGGCTAGCTTCAAGGATATATTGGCGAAAATAGGACTAATAATATCTTCCTAGACACTACAGGGTAAGCAGTCTCTGCTACTATAGTGTATCAAATTTGACAAGGACTAAGGTGCATGAGCAGCAGACAATGCTGTGATTCTTTAGCTGTCACAGTAAGAGACGTAGTTACAAATGTATCTGTATGTATACCACGTTCATAAAGTATGAACAAAAATAATGGCTGGTTAAAGACAAAACAAAAATGAGTGTTTGTGGGGAAGGGAACTGGGTGGAGGGGATATGGTTGTTAGCTGAATCTTTCTGGTATTTTTAGTTTTGGCCCTGAAGTCATATGAAAACATATTTAATTTTTTAAGGGGAAAAATTAGACTCTAAAATAAATGAATTCCTATGGAAATAAGTCTATTTTTTTCTAAGCTATATAATCATCCAGTTAAATATTACTTGAAGAGAAACAGTATTTGGTTAGCAACAATGTTTCTTCAGGACAGAACTACTGAAAATAAAAACAGGAGATGAAAACAAAAGCTTAATCTATACACAGAAGTCTTAATAATAATTGCTAGGCACTGGTGGCTCATGCCTATAATCCTAGCTGCTTAGGAGGCTGAGATCTAAGGATCAAAGTTCAAAGCCAGCCCATAGCAGGAGAGTCTAAGGGTCTATGACTTCCAATTAACCACCAGAAAGCTAGAAATGGAGCTGCTGTGGTTCAAGTAGTAAAGCACCATCATTGAGCAAAAAAGGTAAGGAGCAGTGCTCAAGCAGAGTTCAAGCCCCACTGCGGGCACATACACACACACAAAAATATCTCTGCAATAATCGTATTATTTTTAAAAAGAACATGAGCCCTTCAGAGAAACTGATGGCCCTAAGTCTGGCAAAAGACATGCTCACAAGGAGGCCCAGCATTTACTTTTTCAGAAATGACAGAGAAGCCAGTTTCTCACTCATCAGAGCTTCTGCATCTTGCCATTTTTTAAAAAACAATTATGTCATTCTTAGTATCTAGAAAAATGCCTAGATATGGGCTACTCAATGAATACATTCTATAAGTCTAAAACTACTTTATAAAATGTTCTCACAGACAAGCACAATACAGGAATATTGAAGATTTAAAAATATCTTTTTATTTAACATAGCTATAAAATGAGCATCTGCTTTATAGTTTAAAATACACAATGATCCAAATTGTACTCTCCCCATTTTTTTTTACCTTAATTCTGAGAGTTCTGGAAATGCATCAGGGACATCTGGCATCTTGTACCCAAAACCATTTTGGCTTATCTGAAGAAGATTTTAAAGGGTATTAAATTTCAGCCATCTTACTGTTCCTATTTATTTATGAAAGTAATTTTCATGCTTGCTCATCAGCAGTCACTCTTACTACTTGGGCCACTCTGCCAGCCCTTTCTTTACATCAGTTATTTTTAAGATAGAATCTCGCTTTATGTCCAGGCTGGCCTGGGCTGCAAACCTCCTATTTATGCTCCTCTCTGTCCCTAGGATAACAAACACACACCATGGTGCCCATCCTTTGTACTTTTACATAGCTCAGGATGATAGGTATACACCACTGTGCCCAGCCATCAGTTTCATGGAGTCTCACAAGCTTTTTATGCCTGAGCTGGTTTCAAACCATGACCCCACAATCTATCTCCCATGTAGCAAAGGGATTACACATCTGAACCACCATGCATGGCCCATAATTGTTTTTACTAAGATATCTTCATCCTTGCACTTCACTTTACTCCCCCCTCTTCTTTCAACCTATTTTTTTTAGCATAACTTTTGCATATAACTTGGGTTTGTTTTGAGGGCTTCAAAAGATCCCATGATAGCTCTCCTTCATAAGCAAGTATGTGGCTGTAAAATAAATCTCTTCAGTATACTTGTGACTGTAGATTCCACTGCTACAGAATATATTTTTCTCTAATGAAATATACTAAATACAGAAAAACTTCATAAACTCAGCAGTGTGAACAGTTATGCATCTAAGATAGATGAGGCACTAGGGCAGATACAAATGCATTTTTTTGAAGACTTTGAAAATTTTTCTTAAAATTTTGTTAATACTAATTGTAGTTTATTTATATACTAACCCATTAATAGAATGATAAAATGTTTGTTTTTTTGGGTCTGGTCATGGGGCCTGAACTCTGGGCCTGGGTGCTGTCCCTCAGCTCTTCAGCTCAAGACTAGCGCTCTACCACTTGAGCCACAGCGCCACTTCCAGCTTTTTTCTTTTTGGTTAGGTGGTGCTGAGGAATCGAACCCAGGGCCTCATGCATGCAAGGCAAGCGCTCTACCACTGAGCTACTGTCCCAGTCCTGATAAAATGTTTTGAGCCAGACGCTAGTGGCTCACGCCTATAATCCTAGCTACTCAGGAGGCTGAGATCTGAGGTTCACGGTTCAAAGCCAGCCCGGGCAGGAAAGTCTGTGAAACTCTGATGCTGTAGCTCAAGTGGTAGAGTGCTAGCCTTGAGGTGAAGAGCTGAGTGACAGTGCCCAGGCCCAGAGTTCAAGCCCCACAACAGACACACACACACACAAAAATTAATTTTGGAAAAACAAAGTCCATTTGGTTATACATTCTTAAATGATTACAAACTCTGAAATTGGTAATACTGGATAATAACATTTTACAATAGAAGATTAACATTACTACAAGTGATAGTCATTAAGTAAAAACTGAAGGTTATAGAATCCCTTTGTATTTTATGCACAGACTCACCATTCTCTTCTGTGTAATACCTTGAAAAGCAAACCCATCAGGTGACCTCTTGTCTTTCTTCAACTACTTTCTTTAGAACATACAATTTTTAAACAAATAGGATGTTTGAAGCCCTTGGAATACTACAGAAAACATTCTTCAATCTACTCCTTGCCTCCTATATGACTATTTCTTGTGCCTCTGCTACAGCCTGACAGACTATCTGACAGAAAGGCCTGACATAGGTGGTCCACAAAATGCTATCTGGCACATCCACAATGCTTTTGTCAATGTTACAGCCCCTCACACAATGTCTTACACTTCCTTCTGTTATCCTGGCAAATTTATAACCATCAACTTCCTCAAGCATGAATTCAATCATTTACTTATCTACCTCATTGTTATTAAGCATTTGTTATATGCATGAAACATGGTTGAAGATGCTAGAGATAAAATGGTTAAAAAACAGTTGGTACTAGCTCTACCTTGGTCCCTGAGCCACGGTCATTCCACCATTCCCACATATGCCTCCACCATAACTCTATACCATCTATTTTACAAGTCCATAATTTCTAATTATTTGATTATTTCACGGTTATGTCTTCAAATTTGTTTACCTGAGTTTAAAAATATAACAATTTTTAAATTTTTTTTTGCCTAGTTAGTAGCTGATTAAATACATACTAAACAGATCACAAGGATACCAACCGGTGTTGAAGTTTCCATTGTGGGAACAGGCAATGGCAGACTTGAAAGGACAGCAAATGTAGGAGCAGCAGGCTTGGCTGTTGTATAACTTGTTGTTGAAGAAGAAACAGTGTCAGCAACAGACAAAGAAGTGATGTTCCTGTTAGCTTCTTGAGGAGGATACGCAGGAAGAAACGGAAAACCCTGAGAAGCATAAGGAGGCAGCCCACTTGGGTTACTATACAGGCTAGAGAGAAAAGAAAAGAAACATTAACTCAGATGTCAGGGGAAAAAACATGAATTTATCCTTAAAAATTTCTTCAATAAAAATCTAGTTTTGCAGGTGATACTTATCATAATTATATGACAAAATGTTATATAAATGGATAAGATATAAACTCCTAGAAAGAGAACTATGATTTCTATGAGAAAGGAAAAATTTGCTAAGAAGCATACAATTCAAAAGGTCAGAGCAAGCAAATAAGCTGAGATTCTGAGTTCCTGTATTCAGTTTTAGTTTCTTCATAGAATGAAAAACATGTAATCCAGAAAACATATGCAGATGGATGCTGATAAGTAGTAACTTTGATTGTGTTTGACAAAATCTAACTGAATGACAATTTTCTAGAATGCTTTAAAGGAAAATTAAACTTTTCTGCCTGAGCAGGCCTCAAACTGGATCCTCTAGATCTCAGCCTCCTGAGTAGCTAGGATTATAGGTATGAGTCATCAGCACCTAACTAATTTCTCTAGTCTATGAAGATTTCCTATAAACTGATGATGGGCTAACAATGCAATAGCAAAGTAGAAATAGAAGAATACATAGATAGACATTACAGAATAAAAACATCTTTTAAGAATAGTAAAAGAGGCCTAAGAAGGTGGCTCAGCAGTAGAGTGCTTGCTTTATATGCATGAGGCCCTACTTTTGATTCCTCAGCACCACATAAGCAGAAAAAGCCAGAAGTGGCTCTGTGGCTTGGTGCTAGCCTTGAACTGAAGAGCTGAGGGACAGTGCCTAGGCCCAGAGTTCAGGCCCCATGACCAACAAAAAAAAAAGTATGTCCAATTTCACTATTTGATAAACACACTAAAGTATATTAATCATGTTTTGCCTATCAATGGGAAAAGATCCCTTTTTAACACAATTCTTTACTGGAAAGGATTGCATAGGAGTAGAGACTAGTACAACTGTTATGGAGTAAAATTTTGCAGTATCTGTCAATATAACACGTGTGCAGTTAATGTTAGCATTTTTTAAATTTAAAAATTTTAAAGTTAAACATTTTAAAATTTAATATAGTACAGAGAGCTCTGAAGAGAGGTGAGACATATAAGAAATATCAGAATAAACAAACGTAACTGTCAAAAGGAAATCTTGCTAATACATTATAGTATTCCTATAAAATGAAAACTTTTGTGGCCATAAAAAATAATGAGGAATTAGCAGAGTTCTGGTGACTCACACCTGTAATCCTAGTTACTCAGGAGACTGAGATCTGAGGATCACAGTTCAAAGCCAGCCGGGGAAGGAAAGTCCATGAGACTCGTATCTCCAATAAACCACTAAAACCGGAAGTGGCACTGTGGCTCAAGCGGTAGAGCTGAAGAGCTGAGAGACAGCGCCCAAGCCCAGAGTTCAAACCCCATGACCGACAAAAAAAAGAGGTATTATATGTACTAACATAGAAATGCTCCAAACCACACTTAAGTGATAACAAAGCAATGGGACAATATGTTACTGCCTGTGTGTTAAGAAGAATAAAATACTACAAATACTCCTTACACATACATAAAATACCTCAACAAGTACATATACATCTCTAAACAACTTGGAGGAGAAAAATGAAGTTGCAAAGGAAAAAATATGGGGCAGAGAGACTTTTAGATTGAATCCCTGGACTTCTTCAAGCCATACCAACTAATTAAAAAAAAAGTAAAATAAAAAAATGGTCCGAGTCCAATTACAGACTCAGAAAATTGTTATCATTATTTTAACTAGAAGTTCAATGGTAATAAGTTATGCATCCTAAATAGTTAGAAATTACTTTTACTCAGAAAACTACCAAAAACAGTAAGCCAAGAAACTAGGAGATAGTTATAGAGATAAACTTGAAATAGAGATAAGAAAGTAAAGGAAAATGTAAAGAAAACAACAAGAGGAGGACTCTAGATGCTCAGAATAGAGAACCAAAAGTAAAGCACTGTCTGCAAGAGGCAAAACCAACAACAACAACAACCACAAAAATCAACCAAAAAACCCCCAAAAACACAACAAAGAATGATCAAACCCAGTGATTACCTGACTGGTAATGTTAAAAACAAAATGGGTGATGAAATATTTTTATTTTTGTGGAAGTTTAAGTTCTTAAAGTTTAAGAAGATATGGAAAATTAAAAACAGCTAAGAAAATAATGGCAATGGAACATGTGAAATCAAAAAGTGTTAAGTCTTTGTTCCGTGACAGATAACAATAATGCAATAATGATAACACTAACTATACAATGGAAGAAAGGGGTAACATTGTCCAATCACCTGAATTGTGAAATGGTAACCCCTCTGTACAAAACCTTAGTAACAATAAAATTATATTGAAATAATAACATTAATCATAGACTTATGGCAAAAATCAAGATAATTACACTAGAGGACAAAGAGGACGAAGAAGTTTTATACAAGAAAGTTAAAACCAGATCTAGTATGAGGTCAGTAGATAATATCTATATGAAAGACTCAAGAGATAGTACCATGTATATATCATTTAGAAAGATGAAAGTAATTATTAGAAATAGCTGAAGTTGGAAAACATTATTGCTCCTGAAAATGTAGATATATTTCTGAGGAGGTGAGAATGTGGAAATTGGATTTTCTTTGAACATTAATTCTAAGTATATTGACTTACTTGATAAATGAAAATACATGCACATGTTGTTAGTTATTAAGATACTATGGAAAAAAAAACTTACTATGGAAATGCTGTTGAAGTGGGAGCTAAAACAGGAGGATTCTTCCAAAACTCATCCAACAGACTCTGGATAATTTTTCCAAGATCTGAGTGCATTGTAAACTGAAAGTAACAGTAATACGTAATGATTAAAATCACTTTCAAAAAGTGATTATAAAAGTCTCATTGGAATAATGTCATTCTCATTCTTAACCCACTGTTGGAGGTCAAGAATAAACAGAAAAGCAAATAGTATTGTGTCAACTCAAGGTAACAGCAATCCACAACTTACATCATTTGCTTATAGAATCAATACTATAGATATTTGATAATTAGCAAATCAGGTGTCCATTCAATCAATAATGGAGATAAAACACTTTACTGTTTATAGTAACAAGAAGGTTTAAAGGCAAATACGGAGAGTATATTAATGTACAGTCCTTTAATCAGCTATAACATATCCAAGGACTTCAATTTAGTCTTAAGTAATAATAGTCTTAGCTACTAAAAACAATAAAAAATATTCTGGATAGTTATTGATTCTAAAAGAATTTAAAAACATAAAAGTAGTAAAGAATAGATTTGTCATATTACTCTGAAGTAAGTCATACATACATTGCTTACTAATGGAGAGGTAACATATATTCCTTGTTTATCCATTAAATGATGTCGGATTGGTGGATAAACACTGATCACTGGTTTTTCCTGAGGAAACTGTGGAGGAAGTAGTCTGGCAAAGATACACAGATATAAAATAAATCCAGTTTGTTATGTTATACAGACACAATCTAAAACAAAGCTAGCTAAAAGTAAACAAATTTTCACACTTCATATGGGTTCTTTAGTAATACTGATCTGCAATGGTTAAACTGCCTGAAAATATACAAAAGATTTCATGTTAGCAATGAGATTATACAGCAATTCAACATAGTATAATTTATGTGGAATACAGATTCTGTAAATTATAGAATCGTCTATGTACTACGTCAACTACATGATTTTATATTCAATTTGCCAAGCTGAACAAACTCTAAGCTAAAATTTAGATCATGTTTCTATCAAGTGAATCATACAATCAGTTTGATGATTTTATTGTATTATAGGTTATGTCCCAATAGTTTCCTTACAAATTTTACAATAAGAAATTAGGAAATTATTTTTGCAAAGCTGGCAAGGATGATTTTAATATATATTCTACTTCAAAATGGAAGAAAATAGGATTGAAATATTGTAGTAATCATTATGATTTGGTTCTGACTCCAAATAGTAAATTCTTGAACTCTTTTAGAAGCTTGACATATAATCTTAAAAAATAGGACATCAACTCTTGTTTCCAATCCTGCAGAACTCAGAATATCTCCCTGCTCCTCTGCTAGCTCAGAAAACTACTGTTGCCATCACTATGAAGAAGAAAACTGGGTCTTCCACTTAGCTTTTTCAGGGCATTAAGGGAGAAATGAAAATAGTTCAGTGACACAGCTAAAGATTTTCAAACTAGTTTGGCCTCTGAGCTAGCTACTTTGGGTTTGTATCCTAAGCATTTTCTGTAATTTATTCTCATTTACAGGTCTGCTAATGGAGCTTCATAAAGCTTATAACATTGCTTTGTGCTTAAATTCATTCGTGAAACTAGTATTTAATAAGGACTCCTATGGTCAGGCACTATGCTAGACAATGAGGTTATAAAAGAAGAATAAGGCAATTAATTAATTAATTTATTTTTTGGTCGGTCGTGGGGGCTGAACTCTGGGCCTGGACTGGACGCTGCCTTTCAGCTCTTCAGCTCAAGACTAACACCCTACCACTTGAGCCACAGTGCCACTGTGCCACTTCTGGCTTTTTCTGCTTATGTGGTGCTGAGGAATCGAACCCAGGGCCTCATACATGTAAGGCAAGCACTCTACCACTAAGCCAACTTCAGTGATGTTAAGTTTTTCATTTCACTAAATTAAACTAATTTGTAAATTATAGTTACTCAAAATAAATGTTAAGCTGTTTACATCTAACATTAAGTAAGACAGAATGCAAAACATCTCGAATCTTTAAGACAAAAAATAAGATACAATTCTACTCACATATTAATGTTAATTGTCAAGTTGTTTACAGTGAAGGGCAATCTGTATTCCACATCTTTCTGTATTTCAGCTATACTGTACAAGAAAATGTAGAAAAAAATTACCAAAAAGGATGAAACCACCATTATTAAAAATTAATGTTTTTCCTTCAATTAAAAAAAATTAATGTTAACTAAATGTTTAGACTACAACTACTTCTAAATTTTTGTACAGAATCTGCACAGACCCCATAACTTGCATCTAGAGAAAAATCATGACAGAATTATCAAATCAGCAGACAATAATATTTTGAAATATCCATGGGGTAAGGCTAAGATGCTAAGGAAAACAGGCAAGAAAAACTTAAATTAGTACCAGATTATATCTGTTTATCTAATTTATTATCAGTAGAGGAATTGTTAGTTCTCTTATATTTGTCAACAAGGCATCTGTGTCCATGATACTCTGCTACTATCCAATTACAGAGACAGCTAGGAATATCTAAGTCTTAACAGTCCTATGATAGAGGCTGCTGACTACATTCAAAAATCAAGTATTCCCCCTTCTTCCTAAGAGAAACCTGATTTTATTCTGGTTCTAGTCTTTTTTTTTTTGTAACTACTTCTTGCAAAAGACTGAAGTCTTAATAGCCAATAAAGTTTATAGGGAAGTTTGTGGGTGGATGTACAGAGAAGTACTTTACAGAACAGAAAACTGGTCTGAGCCCATTTTGCCTTCCTTGCCTTCTTTTGGCTTCCTGCTTAGACCTGATGGCTGGAGTTCTAAAAGCCATTATGGACTATGGGTGACCACGGGGATATGACATGCACTAAGTATGCTAAGCAGGATGAAAGTCACTTGAGTGCTTGACAAAATAGCCAGAATGGTAATTTCCTTCATGTGAAACCCAAACAAATTTTTATCTTGATTAAGCGACCATTTGAGGGGTTTTTGTTACTGGCAGCAGAGTAAAAAGCCTCTTAAACCTTTCAAGTCAGGTATCTGGGTTTGAATTCTGCATCTACCAGTTACTTGCTGTGGAATTATGAACAAATTATTAAATCTAAGCCTTCTCTCTCAGATGTGATATAGGGTTGTTAAAAACATCTACCTAAAACTGTTAAGGCATAGTACCAGCCAAGTATCACTCAATAACTTAACTATTTAAAAAAATTTTTTTAGAACATGGGCCCTGTCTAGATCCGTGGTATTGACATTTGAACTCATCAGTTTTTCAAACACTGTTTGGACTTTTAAAGAATCTTTCATAAAAACTATCAGAATAGATTTGATCAAAATAACTTTTATTTAAAAATTTCAATTAAGAACTATCTATATCCAGTTCATTTTCCTGATATTATATTTTTAACACTTATTAAAACTTTTACACATTTTCTTTATAATGGAAATATCGAAGATAACAAAAGGTGAGTGACATTTAGTGAAAAGTGAATTCCATTAGCAAATTTCAAAACCAGTAAAACAGCACCCTAGTAATACATTTTTACTAGTGGTATTAGGCAAACTGGCAGGCAGGAATTTGCTTTAACTTTTTTTTGTCAGTCGTGGGACCTGAACTCTGGGCCTGGGCACCATCCCTCAGCTCTTCTGCTCAAGGCTAGCGCTCTACCACTTGAGCCACAGTGCCACTCCCGGCTTTTTTTTTTGCTTATGTGGTGCTGAGGAATCGAACCCAGGGCCTCAGTCATGCAAGGCAAGCACTCTACCACTGAGCCACCTTCCCACCCCCCACCCTTGAACTTAATTAAAACAAGAATCACTTTCTAAATATGCATTACAAATGTGATTCTTATTTAAAAGCATATTCAATGGGTAGATAGAAAAAGAGTGAAAGGAATATTTGGCAGAAGGAAGTCCTTAAGATGCCTGGATGCTGGGCAAACCTCAACCACCTGAAGCCATTGTCTAAGGATTTGGAATTTAAGTCTTAGAGGACTCAAGAATTGTCCTTTTGAGTCCTTACCTCCCATTTTTTTTATGAGGAGCAGGTAATGATTTAGCTTTCTACTTCTCCCTACTTTAACACAGTTAAAACGAAAAGAATGCTGCAATGAACATTGAATATAGCCAACCCAGATGCCCCTCAGTAGATGAATGGATCAAGAAAATGTGGTGAGCCAGGCCCAAAGAAACATAGGTCCCATGGTTTCCCTTATATGCAATATCTAGTATATGTATGAGTCAAGCAGAAAAGGTCAGATAATGTGATGTCAGGAAAATGAACCCTTAGATATGTATTTTAATATTTTTTTCTTTCATGCCTGTGTTTCTAATGCATTTATAAGATTATCTCTTTGTTGCTTTGTATGTCC